GTGCACCCGCCCCCCCCCCCCCCCCCCCCCAGAATAAACAAAAAACAAACAAACAAAAAAAACCCTGAAATTTTAAGATGCTGTGAAGCAAAATAAACCAAAACAAGTAAATGAGAGTAAATAAATCAACTCTAAATCATTTCAGAAAATTGTACTGGGTGGATGCCTACAAAGATTGTCTCTATGTCTCTGAACTTGATGGAAGATTCCGGAAAAGACTAGTGGACCGGTGTGTGGATGCCAACAACACTTTCTGCTTTCAGTACCCCAGAGCAATTGTTGTTCATCCAAAATATGGGTATGACAGTTCAAGAGTGCTTTTCCTTTCTTTTGCAAATAGTCTTGCACCGTCTTTAAAAATCTGAAATAAATTTTGCCTGCCTGCACTTAAATTTGCATGGCATTAGATCTTAGTTGCGGCTTAGTAAAACTAATAGCTTGCCTTTTACAGGTATATATGCAGGGCTGTCAGATAGTGTTGAAAGTGGAATTTGGTTCCATGTGGGCAAGGAAGTTTTGATTGCACGGCTAAAAAGGTTGTTGGAAGTGTGTGTGTGGTTTGATAGATGATGGGGCTGCTAGTTGCACTCTTTGAAGATAACTGTGATCATGCAATTGTCTGCTGTAGCAGTTAAAGTACTGAATATATTAACTTTTTTATTATCTTCCTCAATCTATGCTTTAGTTCTTTTGCAAGAAATACTGTATTTGATTGTGGCTTCTAATATTTACTTCAGCATGTTTTTACTACAATCCTAAGGATTAATTATTTATTTGAACAGACAGATCTACTGGACAGACTGGGCAGATCGAGCCTATATTGGACGAGCAGGCATGGATGGCAAGGAGAAGACAGTGATTATTTCTACAAAGTTGGAGTGGCCCAATGGACTCACCATAGATTACACCAATGACAAGCTCTACTGGGCAGATGCCCATCTAAATTACATTGAGTATGTATGCAGAAAGAATAAAACAAGTGAATAATTCCTCATGTCAAATTGCAGTGGTAGCATTTATAGATGCTGTAGGCATCTATATTCACATTTCTACCTACATATACGTATTTCTACCTACTGACTCTGTAGGAAACGAGAGTCAGTAGTAGTATGGAGTAGTAGATGATACAGATTACTAGATGACACAGTAGCCTAGTTCCTATATTTGCATCCTAATCCAGCTGGAAGTGGTCAAAAAATTATAGTGAAAAGATTCACAGCCTGTACTCAAACATGCAGCTTCTCTACATCTAGATGTACAACCTGAACCAAAGCAGAACTTTGGTTTTGCTGAGTATAAAAGTCACTATTTTCTCTGATTTAATAAAATAGCATACAAGTTGTTAGAATATGTCTGAATGTTTGCCCATAGGTATGACATGGGATTTCCTGTTAGCATATGGGGTGGGTTTTTTTTTGCTAACCAAGAAAAATCTGTTAATTGCTTCTAGTGTTAGAAAATTTCCACTAAAAATTTTTCCATTTTTACTGAAATATCAGTAAAAATTAATAACTAGCATTGTGATTCTTGTCAAGGCATTGAAATACTTTAAAAACAACCCTTTGTATTTATGTTACTATTTATATATTAATATTTACATATACATTTATATTTATATTTACTTCTTTTCTGGCAGCCTTTTCTATGCTGAAGCCTTAAAGCCATTTTTCAAAAAATATGTGTTAATTATATAATTTGCCCCTATAGCAAGGTGATAGCAAAAATATTAAATGCTACTAAAGATATCCCATCAGAGGAGACTCTATATCAGAAAGACATGTAAAATTTAGGAATATAGGAGGCCTATTATTTTCTTATGTGTCCCATTATTAGCAGTCTGAATGATCCAGGCAAGTTAGTCTCTTGTGTGACGAAAATAACCTGCTCTAAGGCAGCCAATGTGCAAAATTTCATTTGTCTTAGATGATATGCATCTGTGGGAACATGTTACATTTCAGTGCATATTCCTTTATTCCATTTATTTGCCTAAAATAACCTGTTGTACTTTCCTGCATGTCTTAAAATGAGTTCACTGAGGACAGTGATCTGTCACTAGGGACTAAATAAGCTGCAATTCCACATTGCATGATCCTGGACACCAAAAATGAAGTACCATAAGCATACATAATAAAAATGTGAAGATTATTTAGCATTTACCTGAATGTTTTACAAATATTTTCCTTTGTGTAGGTACTCTGACCTGGATGGACATCATCGTCACACAGTATATGATGGGACTTTACCTCATCCATTTGCAATAACAATTTTCGAAGACATGATATATTGGACTGACTGGAACACAAGAACAGTTGAAAAGGGAAATAAATATGATGGATCAGGCAGGACTGTTCTTGTGAACACCACACATAGGCCATTTGACATCCATGTTTACCATCCATACAGACAGCCCTTTGGTAAGAAAACAGATTTAAATTTGCATTTAACTGTTATCCGGAGGCTAATTGTGAAAGGTCTTGAGTGCACTCAGCTTTTGCCTTTGCTGGGAATAAAATGCATAGAGTAAATATAGACCTTTACATTTATAAATTGCTTTTTCTTTCAATAGTAATGACGGGAAATGTGTAATTTTAAATTAATTTCTAAATAATCATGGCTTAATAACATACATTTCCTGTATATGAAATCATACGTGTGTCTCCCTAGTTTTTGGTTTTCAACATATTGCATTTAGGCTTTCAGTACAGTATTAGAGGAGTCTATTGTACATTGAGACGTTTGTGTCCTGGGATTTGCAAAGTATAGTAATATTTATTCTTCTGTTTTACCAGTAAATAATCCTTGTGGCACCAACAATGGTGGTTGTTCCCATCTTTGTCTGATAAAAGCTGGTGGTCAGGGTTATTCCTGTGAATGTCCTGATAACTTCATGATAGTACAGTTTGGCAATACAGCCCACTGCCTTCCCATGTGCTCTAGCACCCAGTTTCTCTGTGCAGACACTGAGAGGTAAGTTCACTGCTCACTGTCTACTTTTCAATGTCTTTTTAAAGATGTATCTTGCAATTTAGTCCCTTCTGCTCTCACTGTGAGTTTGTGGTGTGTTTGCAAAGACAAAGCAAGGACCAGACTTCCCTTTTGGAAAAATACTTCTAGATAATTGTTTAAATAGTACTTTTTACTTTTCTTCCTGTTATATGACATTGCTAATGTAGCAAAGGTTGGGTTGTTAGAAATATGTACCTCTAGTAACCATCTCCAGTTGAATTCACAAACCTAGGACCTTCTCTTATTTTTTGTTCATCTATTACAATGTATCTGTTTCTGCCAGATATATTCTGTCTGCCAGTGGTCCAGAAAAGCAATTTAGGGGCCCATTTCCTACTCATTTTTTCTGAGACAACAGCAGTTGAGGGAGAGGAATGGTGATAAAAGAGCTACTGTGCTGATATTGTATCACTCTGGAGCCTGTGAGGCAGGTGTGCTTGTTGGGTGGCCTTTTGAAGCACTGTTACAACAATATTCCCTAGTGAATTCCTTGTGCTAAAGTTCAGGTGAATTAAAATTTTACCTCATTAAAAATCCAATTGACAATTGATTTAAAAAGCATGAGAGATGGTTACCACAAATACACATAAAAATTAAAACCTTCTTAATTTGCTGTTAGCTTCCTTCTAGAGGCCCACCAATATCATCTATTTCTGGTGATAGTATTCTGGCATAGTTTGTTAGCATTTGACATATGAAACAGAAGACATGAAATTCAAGATGTCTTGGAAGTTTCAAGACATAACCCTGAGACAAGACTGTCTTTTGTACTGTAAACGCATGGTTGTATAGCTGTAGAGGCATATCAAAGAAAACACTGTTTTCTCTTTGCAGGTGTATTCCTATCTGGTGGAAATGTGATGGACAGAGGGACTGTCGAGATGGCTCTGATGAGCCCCCTACCTGTCCACATCGATACTGTCCTGTTGGTCAGTTCCAGTGTAATGATGGGAACTGCACAAGTCCACATTTCCTGTGCAATACCCAGCCAGATTGCCATGACAGATCAGATGAAGATCCTGTACTTTGTGGTATGTTACAACTAATAAATTTAAGTGTTTTGCCAGTACAAAACATGTTAACTGTGCATAAATTTCAGAAACATTATCCCATTTTGTAGTGACAGGACAAGGGAAAATGCTATTAAGTTGAAAGAGGGTAGATTTAGATTAGATTATCAGGAAGAAATTCTTCACTATAGGAGTGATGAGACATGGGAACAGGTTGTCCTGAGAAGTTGTGGCTGCCCGATCCCTGGCAGTGTTCAAGCCAGGTTGGATGGGGCTTTGAGCAACCTGGTCTAGTAGAAGGTGTCCCTGCCATGGGACGTGATCTCTAAGGTCCCTTCCAACTCTAACCATTCTATGATTCTATGATTTTACAGATGGAAAGGTGAAGTAGACAGATGCACTCTTTATTAATCTTGCACCTGCTCGAGCAGTTCTCCTCAATGCAAAAGCAGGGTACAGGAGATCAAAAACATCATATATGAAAACACAAACGTTTTCGATACCTTTGAGGCAGATTTGCACTGATGTATATTTCAATGTGAGGTATAAAATACTAGAAGCAAGACCTACTTTGTTAAGTAAACCATGGTGAATGTGAGGAATGCAAGACTTCCTACTGCCTAGGTCATTCTACCGGCTATGCTGATTTTCCCTGTATTATAGAGGTCTGTGACGATAGGACAGAATTATTTCACCTTCTGCATTGCAGTGCATGTGGGAAGATTTGTTTTGGAGAGCTGTGATTTCTAAAGTACTGCTTGCGATGGCAGTATTTTAGAAATGTAACCTAATTATGCTTGTGGAATAATGTTATTTCCTTAAAAACTTGTCTTCTTCCACATACTTATGTCTAATTTAAAAAAGCACATCCTTAGTTCTCTTTTTGTAGATAATGTAGTTCTGGCAGTTGTAAGCTCAGTAATATAAAGGGGAAGTGGTGGTGGGGAAAGCAGTGTGGTTGTATAATTGATAGTTTCACTGTCTTCCATTAACAAAGTGTTTCTAACAATGACAGAAATGTCAATTTTACCTGAGTTTCAGATAGCTAAGCTCTTGAGTGTGGCACAGGGGAATATTATGTAAGTAGAAATGTGGCAGCTGCATAATGTGTCACTGGTTTTAACGTACTGGGTACAATAGAAGTCAGTTTAGGTCTATATAATTTGTTCTGCTCATCATCTTGTGCATGGGAATAGACTCTTTTAGTCTAGAAAGTGTGTGGAAATTGTAATACACTGTTCCCCCTTGAACAGTTTGGCAGCATATATAAAAAAAGTAGTAGGGTGGTGTCCAGTGAGACATACAAAGTCTGGAAGCAGAGATCAGTGTTGACTCCTATTTTCACAGACCTCCAGACCTCCCCCAGTTTGCCAGCGCTGCTGACATTAGATTCCAGTGCTTTGCCTTTGGGAGTAGAGGTTGTACATGTATACGTTGTGGAGCTGGTATTATCATGGTCTTCTGTTTTCTGAGGTGTTAATTCATAGGCAGAGGAGCAGGCTCATCAGGCAATGTATATCTAAGATGGTAGTACAGCCAGAGCCGTCACAATGTCGCTTAGCTCCTCTGCAAAGTGATGGGAACCCCTGCAACGTCATGTTTGAATGCTGGCTTTACTTCCCTCTGCCCTAGGAGAAGATAGTGTCTGTCCCACTCCTAGAAAAATGTAGAGTCATAGTGAGCTTGTCTCAAGATGTCTGTGGGAAACATGCCATGTGACATTAGAAATCTGTACCTTAACTGGGCAGGTAAATGTGGTTTCCAGTTTTTACTGGCTTGCTTTCTAAGTTTTGGTGTAGACATGATAACTGCTTAATCGACCTAACAACAGCTGACTATTCTTGCAAGTTTCAGTATCCTAACAGCAGATTTGTACTCTTTCAGCTAATCACCAGTGTGAAACTCATCAGTGGCAGTGTGCCAATAAACGATGCATCCCAGAAGCCTGGCAGTGTGATAGAGAGGATGACTGTGGTGACAACTCGGATGAAGATAGTGCTCACTGTGCCAGTAGAACCTGTCCCCCAGGCCAATTTAAATGTGACAATGGCCGCTGCATCCCCCAGTCCTGGAAATGTGATGTGGATGATGATTGTGGTGATAACTCTGATGAGCCATTCCATGAATGCAGTAAGCACACGGCTGTAGTAAGATGCCTGCATTATAGTGCACCAAAAGCAGAATAAACAGCATAATTTAACTTTCCAGAGGCTGAAAATTCATTGGAGAGGAATGTTTTCTGCAAGCTGATTGCAATCCTGTAGTAAAGAGTGTTAGAAAACAGACTATGTACTAATTCACTACTTATTCTTGAAGGGGATGAAGCTTATTTATGCTGGCCAGATTATCAAGAACTGGTAGCGTCTCACTCTGACTTGCTTGGTGCTAGCAGCATCCTTTGCTTGGCGTCTGTCAACGCTTTGTAAAAAGGATATATGCTGATCCATGGCCTGTATGGAAGTAATGAATGCTAATTCACCAATTTTTACTTTGTTCCATTTTGGAGTCTGATGTATGTCATACTTCTTACAAAACCAAAATGAATTTTCATTTCTTGAAGCTAAAGTTTCTCGGGGTGACAGGCGTATGAAACAAAACTTAAAGGGAGAGCAAACACAGAGCACAGTCTAGCCTATGTTTAACAGCAGGATTTTCCTCTGTGCTCCAGCATCTCTCTTTGAGTTACTGGCCATGTGGAAGAACTTGTGACCAAGTCTGGGCATCTGAGGACAAGCTGCCTCTTCTGGCTTCCAGGTTTGGGGCTTCTACTTCCACCATTACCAGCTCTGAATACTTCAGGGAAAAACACACTGAATGGTGTTTAAACCTTTCATGGGTTTGTAAAGTATGCAAAGTCCAAGCAGCATAGATTGGAAAAGATAGTAAAATCAGATACGTTTAATGCTTTTTCTTTACAACACTGAAGTTAGCAGATAGCTCTTTTTAGTAGAAATAATTGACTATAAGTCATAACAGATTTTGAAAGGCAGAATAGCAAGGACGACAGTTTAATGTCTAAATAACACAACTAACTTTGACAACTGCCTCTTTCAGTGGGCCCTGCCTATCGGTGTGACAATCACACACAATTCAGCTGTAGAACCAACTACCGTTGTATACCACTGTGGGCAGTGTGCAATGGGAATGATGACTGCAGAGACAACAGTGATGAGCAAGGCTGTGGTATGTTTGGAGAAGATCATTTCATCATACCTTTGTACCTCAAATATTTCTTCAATTTACAAACACCTCAATTTTCTCAACATCTTCACTAACAATGTACCTAGGCATGTTTTGTTTGATATCAATTAATTACCTTGGTAGCTATTTGTCAGGAAAAATTCAGTGTGCAGCATTTCATTGTTCAGCTCACATGTTTATGAGCTCTGAAGATCAGGATTTTATTATTTTGTCTAATATGTCATCAAATGAAACAGGAAATACTGTTACTTGAGCTGAACTATTTCAGACAAAACTGTCGGTATTTTTTACATCTACTTAACTTACCTCCTGTGCTGGTGAAACCATCAGTAATGGGAAGTATGATGATGCATTCCCAGTCCTTTGCACCTGTGTTAAAACCTTATACATTTATACACAAAGCTTAGAACACATCAGATGCCCTTCTTTTCAGTAATAAGTTTATCTCTTTTTGTTTCCATCTCAGTTCTATATACTTATTTCAGCTGTTTCTTAATCACATCTCTATTATTTGGCTCAGTTTGTGGCATGAACATCTCTATTTCCATTATCTTCTGTGCATTCCATCTTATCCAAAGACTATGCTAATGTGTGCTGTTTCATTGGCAAACCTTCTGCACTGCAGAGGAGATGACTTGCAGTCCTCTTGGAGATTTCCGTTGTGACAATCATCGGTGTATCCCACTGCGCTGGAAGTGTGATGGAGATAATGACTGTGGAGATAACTCAGATGAACACAACTGCAGTGAGTTATTTTGTGGCTGTCATGGTATAGTCCAGCTTTTGACTTAACTATCCTGTTTCTTACGAGAATGGGGGAGACAGCTCTCAACTGCAGCCGTTCTCTTGTTTCACTCTGTAGCCTGTCTCTACTGAAATACCAGTGATGTCAGAAGGAAGTCAGAATTGTGTCAGAAGGAAGCATTGTAGATACATAAAAACACTGATCAATCCAGTCATCATAAAGCACAAATTCTTGTTTTCCACTAAGAAATGACATTTGAATTCTGCCCTGTGTGCAAATGTAGTATTATATAATTCCTCAGACAATGAAAGTGGATCAGTTTTTTTCTGATTTGGAATAAAAGTTCCTGTATAATTTTGTGATGAAACAAAATCCACAATGGATTTCCTTTTTTCTATGTCAAAAGGGACATAAAATGTTTAACATAATTCATATTGGTGAGAATGCTGTTTTAATATAATTTACTTCTAAGGGTTATGCCACATCATCTGCTTGAATTACTTTTGTCTAATGAGACAGTTGTGCATCTGGGGAACTTTTCGTATTTGTACATTCATTTTAACTGAAGGTCCTCGTGAATGCACAGAAAGTGAATACCGTTGTGACAACTTGCGTTGCATACCTTCCCGGTGGGTCTGTGATCACGATGACGACTGTGAAGACAATTCAGATGAACGTGACTGTGGTGCGTATTGTCTGGATGCTACCTCTTATATGTTCACACTTACATATCTAATGTGATAAATTATTCTGCAAAGTAATCCTTTATGGGAAAAATCTTTAAGGGCGTAATGTTGACCAGATCAGTCATTCTACCAAAAGCAGAGGGTAACCATAGTTTTGATGGTCTCAGATTTTGCAGTCCGTTTTAGGATGTTGTTCTCAAAAAGTAGACACTTTATCTGGATTTGAAGAAGGTATTTCAACAGTTCCTTCTGAATCTTTTCAGATCTGAGGACCTGCCACCCAGGTTATTTCCAGTGTGATAGTGGACACTGTGTTGCAGAGCGCTTCAGATGTGATGGAAATGCAGACTGCCTCGATTTCTCTGATGAAGCAACTTGTCGTGAGTTTCTGACTTTACTGTTGGTGCTCATTGAGCTCACTTCCAGAAAGACTTGTCCTTTCTCTCTGAGATGACTCCTTAGAGATATAGAATTCTGCAACGCTCAGGGATGTCAGTAGAAATTCAGGATAAGTATAATATTTTGAATCAGCTTTTTAATATAATGATGGGTTGCCGTCACTTACATTGATTGTAAACACATTCCTAATGCTAGTAAATTAACGTGTTTACAAGTTCCAGTGGAAGATATGCATGTGACTGAATTAAAATTTTTTACTATCCCACAGACACTGCAAGATCCACTGTTTCAGTTGTACTCTTTTCTAACAAGATTCTGTAATAGGATTGGTTTTTATAATGCTCAAAGGTGTGTATAGTTACCTAAAGTATCAGTGAAGCCAAGGAAATAAAATATTTTCCTGTTTCTGTCTTCCATGTATTGATCTACTGCCAAAAAAAAAAAAGTCTGTACGCTGTAGCTTGTGTTTCCCAGAAAATACTATTCCCAGTTGGAATGAAAATATCACCTCTGTGCTCTATCTGTGCTGATTTACGTTGGCTTTTTAGGTGATATTGAAGTGTTGGTTCTGACTTATGTGTTCAAATGATTTTAAGCTTCAGTACTCAGGAGAATTCCTTTTTCTTTGTGTTGGTAGCAGGCAGTTCTGTACATCTTCCTGTGTACCTAAAATTTTCGTTCTAATTGAAAATATCCTAATAATTTTCTTTTCTTTAGCAACACGGTATCCTAATGGTACATACTGTCCACCCATGCTGTTTGAATGTAAAAACCATGTCTGTATCCAGCCATACTGGAAATGTGATGGTGATAATGACTGTGGAGATGACTCTGACGAAGAACTTCACCTTTGCTGTAAGAGGAAAAAAAAAATTAAAATGAATATGCATAATAAAATCTAATTATAATAGAACAATTAGAAAATAACTTTTAAATGTTTTCTTTTCACTGGAGATTCTCACAGACAATTCAGGGTGAGTGCTGAGAATTCTGCTTCATATACAAGTTCACTTCCTCCTCCTACAGCATGTTTCTCACTGCTTTGCAGATGTCTGTATATGTGGTCATAAGAGTAGGGAAAAACATGTCAAAGAGAGGAGGACACTATTTCACATTTTCAAGTTGGCTATGTAAAATAAGAGCATGAGTTTGCAATTAATGATTAATTCAGATAATGTATATTCTCAAAGCTGCTGGCGTTTTAAAGCTATAAGTATAGCTGGTACATCTTTGTAAATATGGTTGAGGAGTCCTGGCTTTAGTTCTAAAACTGAGGTGCTGGAGGTGCTACTTAAACAATTTTTGTCAGGTATGTACTATATAGCCACTTAAATAGCATTTGTTCATAAACAGATCTAGAAATCTCAGTGTTACATGTCGGAACATAGGATGTGCCTTTGGCCAATGATGTTCTGTCTATTCTGACAAAAAATGTGTAATGTCCTAACATATAATCATGAAAATGTGGAGAAAATATTCTTTTGGCTCTGAGTGCCTCCACACCTTCTAAAATACGGGAAACATATAAATGTTACCAGATGAAAGTGCTTAGGTTAATTTGTGACTCAATGGAATGAAGTGTCAAAGTGTGACTGACTTGATCTCTGTGGTTTCAGTGGATATTACATGTGAATCTCCATTCCGTTTCCGATGTGAGAACAATCGCTGCATATATAGTCATGAGCTGTGCAACCAGGAAGACGACTGCGGAGACGGAAGTGATGAGAAAGAGGAACACTGTATGTTTACAAAATCGAGCAGCAAATTCAGTAATTGTGATGTTCTTAATGTTTCATAATACCAAAGGACTATAGAAATGTCAACATTAAGCATAAATTATGAAAACTAGAGCTCAGTATGAAATAATTCGAACTATGATTATTGATTGGTAGTATGTAGTTGCAGCTCTCCATACAAGTAGCAAAAATCGGCAAACATTTGTCTGAAAAGTACAGAGCATGGTTTTCAAAATAATTGGTTTTTATTATGAGCAGCAGCTAAATTGTATCAGTTTATTATGAACTCCACTTAAAATTATAAAGAAGAAATAGTTTCACGGCATCATAAAATAAGGATGGGATGGATAGCTGGGACTTCTAAAATAGAGAAACGTGTGCTTCTGAATTTGTGGCACTGTTGTTCACATAGTAACAGTGTTGATATTTATGCCCAAGTCCTGCAGAAGCTCTGTTAATAGGTTTTTGTCCTCAGATATCTTACATAGTTTTCATTGACTATGTTGATGTTTATATTATCAAGTTTAATCGTACTGCTTAATGATATTATTTGCTAGCTTTATTGTGTGATATCCTTAAAGGTAATTATGTACTAATATCTCAATAATCTTTTGAAGTCTGCAGTAGATATATGAAGTATATTGTTAAAGGATATTAATAGAATTGCACTATTAAAAAGAAAATTCAATGAACTGTTAGCAAGAGGAATTTACCTTCTGTCTTTATAAAATGGAGGGGCTCCTTTCAGTTCATGGGGATGTGACTAGAAGTCAGGAGGCCATAGTTCTAGTTTCAGCTTTACTACAGACTTCCAAATTTGCTCTAGTCATTATTTTACTGGATTGCATCAGCTTCCTCATTATCGATGTGGAATAGTCATGGCTGTTGGTACTTTATAGCTGAAATTGTAACAGAGGAGCGTTTCTCTCCTTGACTATAGGTAGAGAACCAACCCCAAGACCGTGTACAACTGAAGAATTCAAGTGCAGTAATGGAAATTGCATTCCTCTACACTATGTCTGTGACAATTATGACGACTGTGGTGACCATTTTGATGAAATGGGCTGCAGTAAGTAATAATGTCAATAGAATACAAAATTACAGTGCTATTGAAGTAAAAATTTCTGGAACTGATAACAATACATGTTTGTTCTTGACTAGCATGCTAAGAAGTGTTGATTTTTAATTAGCCCGTGTTAGGATTATCAAATTAGCCGTGATGGTTATCTCCTGTTTTCCTTCTTTTGCAGTATTTAAAAGGCATGTAGATGGGCACTTAAGGGACATGATTTAGTGGGAGCTGGCAATGTTAGGTTTATGGTAGCACTCAATAATCTTAAAGGTCTTTTCCAACCTTAATGATTGAAATTCACTGCTCTGAACAGTTGATTTTAGGCTTAGAGTATTTATGCATCACAAAAATTAATTTGATCTTGGTTTTGATCTTGTTTTGAAATGGGTTGCATTATGGAGGCAAGCATAGACAGATATTATTCACAATTATTCAGAATTATTCGTGGGCAGACTGTTGCTGCAGCCCTGTTAAAAACTGAAGTATACGGAGATGCTTGCATTTTCCTGTTTACAGGCATGACCACAGAATTTTACAAGGACAGCCAGTTTTGGGCTGAGTGCCCTCTCAGATCTTCTGCTCAACTTCTATTAGCGATGCATTATACATTTACTAGTATCCATTTAGAGGTAAAAGCTTTGACTTGAACTTTGAGGCAAGAGCGAGTATTCTCATGGAATCTGGAAAAAAAAAATCCTAACTTTTTGTATTAATATATAGACAGCTGCAGAGTGCTAATGGGAGCATGTACTTGCAATTTCAACTTGTCAGGCTTTGATGGCTTCAAGTGAAAGTGTGCGAAATGATGCACTGGTGATTTACAAGCCAGCATGCTTGCAAAACGTAAATAACTCAGAAGTCTAAAGTGCAGTCCATTTTGAAGCAGCTGTTTTCTCTGTTTCACATACCATCCCCATGGTCTTTACGTAATATAACCTGATATGAAACAGTGCAAACCAGACACCTGGCAGTCAGCGCTCTCCTGTCTGGGGACAGATGTGAATGCAGATCAGGTGGTAACATTTGTAGCTTTCCCAACATCAAATACCTGTGTTCTAATAAAACCAGAATATTTATGTGTGTGTGTGTACTATGAATTTATGATCTACATGTATATGGAATTGAGCTGTTTCAACTTAATTCAGTTAGCACTGGGATGTGTATGTATAAAGGAAATGTAATGCCTGTGCCTTACATCTCTATCTTTTTCTCATGCTCTGTCAGTAAGCATGTTATTTCTCTTTTCTAGTTATATAACAAATCTGAGTTTGAAAGTACTTGTGTGTATGTAGAATATGTCAGAATCATGACAGTTTTGAAGGTACTTTGAGTATAATTGTCATTATCTGTTAGAGAATATCTGTTATCCTTGACTTGTCTTTTCCATTATAGGCATGTTTTAAAGAGCAGTGCATTCTGTACAATGACCTGTATTGACTTCAGTAGGCTTTAGATTAGGTACAGCATGAACAAGCTATCATCTTCTCTCTAATTTGCAGATATAAATAATGTAGGGCCTATGTTATGCATGATAGCAACTGAGAACATTTTTTGCTTAGCTGATAATAAAGGACTGGGTAAGAAAGAGGCAGGTTGGCAAAGCTAGGAGGTAGAGTCAAGTCTCTTAAACAGTTGCTGCAGATTGGAGGTAATGTAGAATGCCGTATCTCTTAAGGAAGGTGAGCTTTGATTGTTACGGCTCTTATGCTGGCCCTGTTGATTTCTAGAGGTTAAACTTCTTGGCTGACCTCTACGTTGACCAGCATTTACCATCCTCTTCTAGTTAGTTATTGAGAATAGATGCTCACATTAATTGAGTTTCAGTTAGAAAAAAAGGAAAGGAAGCTAATGTGAAAACAATTTTCAGTTATCATAATGATAAAAATTGACACCCTCCATCACTTTGTTTTTTTTACTGTAATTGTATAATTTTTTTTTTATTTTTTTCCTAGATCTCGGAACAGAACGAAATTGTGCAGAAAATATCTGTGAACATAACTGTACCAACCTGAAAGAAGGAGGCTTTATCTGTTCCTGTAGGCCAGGGTACAAGGCCAGTGAAACTAACAGGAACTCCTGTGATGGTATTTTCAATCTTCTAAATATCTTCTCACTGTTAAGTGTTCAGTGACCTGTCACTTCCTCATCCTAATGTGACTACCTATTTTTGCATTCTAACAGGACTGTTATACATTGAGCAGATGCTTCCAAATTGTTTTGCTGATGAATCATGTTTTCTAACATGTAGAGCTCATTCAACAAAGAACTGGCTCCACAGTTCAGACTTGTTTTAAACTTTTGGTGGCTGTAGGTGTATGTTTTCACTTTACTGTATATAGGTTTTGTTGCATCTTTGCAATCTGAGGGGCAGAAATTTGCTGGACTTCTGTTTGTTTGCTTGTTTTCCTTTTTTTTTCTTGTTGAAAGAAAACATACTGAAGCTTGTCATCTCCTTCTGTTCTGCTTCCGAACAGGCCTACAGTAAAGGTCTATTGTGCCATAATTTTGCACTGGTAAAATATGACCATTGTACATGGTCATGCAGTATAGTACCTTCACTGACACCATTTCAGTATGTTTCAATACTTCCATTTGTTGCTTCCAGCTCTTGTGGACAATTCGTATTGTTTTATCAAACATCATCTAAGGCCTCCCTTTCCTTCCTGATGCTGATGTTTCTGAGGAGTAGGTACCTTTGCTTCAGCATTTCAAGAAGGCTTTGCTCTTCCATGTCATTGTAGTCATGCCTCTCTTTTCTTTTTGTCTGTGCTTGGTGATATAACATAAAAAACCACAATAAAAAATGTCTCTCTGAAAAGCAATCTGATAAGCAGGAGCAATGCAGTTACTAGCAGTCTGTAGTTAAGACATGTTAAACAGTAGATCAGTTCTGTTAAATAACAGATGTGGATGTTAAAGATCACATATGAGGTCACTAATCTTTTAGAATATGTGGGGAAGGGACAAACTGACCACTTCACAGGGTAAAGATGACCAGCATGTGGAAGAAAGACATTAAGCTCTAGACATCTTTTCTCTACCTCTGCCTAGATATCAATGAGTGTGAAATCTTTGGAACATGCACCCAAGACTGCAAGAATTCCAAAGGAAGCTATGAATGTTTCTGTGCAGATGGCTTCAGGTCTGTGGGTGATCAACAAGGGAAACAGTGTGCAGCTAATGGTACGTTAACTGATACTAAGATTGATTGCTACCTGGAAAGAGCAAGTGGAGTGTAGCAGCTTAATGAGTATAATCTTCTAGGGTTTTTATGAAGGGAATAATGAAAACCAAACTTCATTCTGTAACATATTATCTGTGTATTCTACCCATTCCATAACCAGGAATAGAAACGTTCATCTCTGCTGCCAACTGTAAACATTAAAAATAGTATCTTGATTTAGATGCATGCCTGCCTTTCTGTTGAAATTTTCTAGAGAAAAAAGCCCTGCTTATGCTGTGGCTGTCATCGGAAGGAAATTATTGTTGCCTATTCCTGAATTTAGGTTTTCTTAACAAAATACTGCATCAGAAGAAAGTTGCATTAAACTGGTACAAGTCAAAGGCAGTTTATGACAGATTGCCATTAATTGTTCATGGACTGATGCACACAGACAGAAGGACATTGGCCAGTGTTTAATGTCAATCATTGGCTTTTTCTCATGCCTCAGTGGCTACATTGTGTGATAGTCATTTAATCGGTAGAGAGTTGATACAGAAAATAATAGTAATAGAATACTGATAATAGAGACAAAGAAAATAGAAGAACGTGACAATGCAGCAGTATTACATAAAAGACAGAAACAATATTGTATTTAGAAAATTATTTACACTTCCTACACTTTAGCAGCTTTAAGAGATATGTGATACAAACATGGTATACTCAGTCAAATAGTAAAATCTTCAAAACAGAATGCCTGTGGGCAAAACTGCATTCATCTCAATGTGGAGACATTAGGCTTTAGAGACTTTCAGGTAGAACAACTCAGGTCATGGCTCAAGGTACTGGGACTTTCAAAACTGTGTCCTGTACTTTGAGGAGGGGAGCTGAACTGCGCTATGTATAGCTGCATTCTGGTTTTGAGATGAAGTGGTGATATGCCAACACTGTAATGTTTTTAAGAATTTTTGAGGAATTATATCTTAATGATTACTACTGCACAAAATCTATGGTGAAAAGGATAATACTATCAGTAAGCATTTCCAGAGGTTTTAATGATTTTTCCAAAGCTAATAAATCTGAATACCACTGAAGCTTTAGAAGTGGCCCGGTGTTCCTCTTGGTTTTTACGCAGACAGAACTTGTGAAACCCCAGTTTAGTTTTGACCAGAAGTGACTTTCATCTGTTTCTTCTAAAATGAAATACATGGAAGTAAAATTCATGATTGTTTTGATCGTTTCCCAGGTAATCCTCCATTGTTACTGCTGCCAGATAATGTGCGGATTAGAAGATACAATATCTCATCAGAACAGTACTCTGACTACATCGATAACCAGGAGCGCATCCAAGCTCTGGATTATGACTGGGACCCTGAAGGGATAGGCCTGAGTGAGTATGTGTAGAACATTAATACTCAACCATACAATG